AATAATAGAAATAAGATCCTCATATTATATATATGAAGAATTTTAGAGCTGGAAAAGATATAAGAGATTCTAGTGCTATTATGAAAGAACTGAGGTCTAAAATGATTCAGTATTTTAATTCAAGTCAAACTTCTGTAGAAGTTAAAAATATTATCCCCACAAAGTAATCCAAGGCTCAATAACTAACATAAAGTAGGCCCTTCAGAAGTGGTGACCTGGCACTCAAGCTCACATCTATTTGTCTCCACTGCCTTTGGAGGCAGCTGTGATATGGTCTCAAAGAGCAATGTGACACCAGCACTTTCTCATGCAGATACACAACTGTTCCGCCCACCTTGTGAAGCTCTATGTGAAATCAATGCTAAACAAAGGCAAAAAAGATGTGGAGTTCTTTCTACTTGTGTTTCTGGAAAACAACAACTTGCACCTGTTTCTTCCCAAGTCTTACTTGAATTCTTCCTCGGTTTTTCTCAGGCTTGGAACTGTCTGCAAATCTAGGGCAGCATTCCTTAAAAAAGTGTCATGAGGACTCTTGAACCAGTCAGTCACCTGGGTGGCCTTTTAAAAATACACTGATTCCTAGGTCCTATCCAGAATTATCCACTGAGAATTCCCTGGGAAATATAGATACAGAGTGAGAGAGAAAACAAAATTGAATTAGTGAGTCTGTAAGTGATCAGTGAGTGATGGGGGTAGGACTGATTTGATTAGATTATAGACCTAAAATACCAAAGCAAAACCTCTTGGACTATCAATATACACTTTTTTTAAACTGAAGGGCGGGATGGAAAAATAAATCTTTTCCAAGGATGGGTATCAGTGGGAGGGGTGAGCACAAGGAAAGGGGGAATGAGAGTGAATAGGGTGGATGTGTTTCATATCCATATGTGAAAACAGAAGAATGAAACCTGTTGAATCACTCTAAGAAGGGTGGGAAGAGGAACGATGGAGGGGGCAAATCTGAGATATATTGTAAGCACATATGTAAATGTATCCCTCTGTACAACTATTATATACTAACACAAGTTAAAAGAAACAAGAACTTCTTGAGAGGGGCAGGCTGGGATTTTGCACTTCTACATCCCCCGAGGTTGCTTATTGCACTGAAATTTGAGTCACTGAGATAAAGGGAATGTCATTGGGGAGACTACACAGTCTCGGCCAAAGAGGCTATGAAATGATAGAACTAAAACCATGAGTAAAATCAGGGTAGCCTGCAAGCAACCTTTTCTCAGTCAAGGAAACGAAACTCGGGCAGGAATACAGCCTCAAAACTATCTTTAGTTACATGACAATTTGGAAAACAAGTTGTTTTCCAAAAACAACAAATTACATATACTACCCTAAGTAGACAAACATTTTTAATGTTTTGATATATTGCCTTACTGTTTTTTCTTTTGATTCTTTTGAGACAGGGTCTCACTATGTAGCCCAGGCTGGCCTCAAACTTACAACCTTCCTGCCTCAGCCTCCTCCTGAATGCTGGGATTACAGGAGTTCAATGCTTTGCCTGATCAATTTTTTTTTAAAGAAAGTTGTGGGCTGGCAGAGTGGCTCAATTTGTGGGCTGGCAGAGCGGCTCAAGCGGTTGAGTGCCTGCCTAGCAAGAGTAAGGCCCTGAGTTCAAATCCCAATACCACACACACAAAAAAAGATATGCTGGTACACTTCTTTAATCCCAGCACCATGGAGATTTATGCAAAAAAAACCTGTGAATTCAAAGTCAGCCTGGAACTAGAGAAAAGGTTAGTTCGAGAAGAATTAATTTAGAATGTAACACATATATACAGGAAAACAATGCGAGTAAACTCCCTGCATAGTTATCCTTATCTCAACTAGCAAAAACCCTTGCTCCTTCCTATTATTGCTTATATTTTCTCTTCAACAAAATTAGAGATAAGGGCAAAATAGTTTCTGCCTGGTAGCAAGGGGGTGGGAGGGAGAGGGAGAGGGTGGGGGAATGGAGGGTGAGGGGAGGGGGGGGCGGAAGGGGGGAGAAATGACCCAAACATTGCATGCACATATGAATAAAAGAAAAAAAAAGTCAGCCTGGGCTGCATAGCAAGACCCTATATCAGAAAAAGAAAATAAAAAAGGAAAAGAAAAGAAAAAAACTGTCTTTTCCCAACACACAATGATTCAGAAATGAGTTTCTCGCATTGCATCAAATATCCATTAGAACAAGGCCAGCCACAGTCGCAGAAGCATCATAGTCAGGAAGACAAATCTGTATCCTGAACCAGTTTTTCCTCCAGGGAGGATAATGGCTGCCTCCTCTAACGTGATCAACCTGCCAGGAGGTTGTTTTTTGGTCTCCCCCAGGGAAAGCTTCTGGTGTGGAGGGCTCCAAATGTCAACTGCTGTTGGCAGTTAGGCACTCAGCAATAGACTAGCCAGGACAGTCTCTGGCAGGGAGGCACACATTGTTGAGCCTGTGTGTAACCTTTATCCCTCCACTGTGCCACCAAGCAGGCACTAAGCTAACTGCAGAAAGAGGTCAACACCATTGCGAGCAGGTCATCTGTCCATCTGCTTACTGAAAGTCTCCTCCAAGGTGGATGCCTTTTGCTGAGATTCACGTGGGATACATTTTTCATACTCTGAGCTCGTTCAGAAACTTTCTCCCGCATTTCTCTTCCCCTGTCCTCCCTGTCACTAATCTGTCAAACCTCTTCCTGAATCCCCAACATTTCAGCCATTTCGTAAAGAACAGCAATTGTGAAAGAGAACTTAAAAAGAACTCACTAAGTCCATCCTGACTTCAGGCAGCTGTTTGAAGAGGAAGCAAGCATTTATGCAGAGAAATTTGGAAACAATTGTCTAAATTAAAGTACTGATGTCTACAAGCTAGAATTCATGGGAAGTCTTTCTGAAACTCAAGGTAAGAGTTTAAAGACTATTGGTTTTTTATTTTTTTGCAGTGATGTGGACTGAATCCAAGGCCTCCTGCACGCTAGGCAAGTGCTCTGCCACTGAGCTACATCCCAGCCTTAAGGAATATTCTTAAAGACTGTTGTACATAATGTCAAATAAACAGAATTACTTCTATCTGTCGATCTAAAACAAACACAATGAAACAGATTTTTAGATACAAGATAAAAAAAATTGTTTCAGAAAAATGACAGAGTCATTTGTAGGAGTTACACATTTTCTTTGCTTTAACTGAGATTCAATAATCAGTGGACCCACGTCAGAAATGCACCCCATACACTGCTGAATTTAAATCTCCCACTCCCAGAATTTCGGTCTTGGCACTCCAGTCTACCTCGTTAGCACTGCTGGCACACTCCCTCAAATGAAGCAAGGGTCATTATCAGCGGAAGGAGACCCCAAAGTTTGTCACAATCCTTCCAACAACTACATTAGAAGTGAAGGTTTACTCTAAAAAGTTCTACTCTGAAAACAGATCTCAACTGTTACAGAAGTAAACTTCTAAAACCTACTCACCTTGTGAAAATCTAAATAACAAGCAATACTATCATCCCCTTTAAGGCAAATTCAACCCAACTGTCCAAGGCCATGGAAATCACTGACAAGGATAAGCATAAGGACCATGTACATGATGTCATTTTTTTCATTACACTGTTCCAGGATTTCTCAAATGCATTAAGTCATCCTCTGGATTTACTTGGACTATGTCTTCAGTATCTACCAGATAAAGACTAAGACAGACCCATGTTTGAAGGAACTGTTCACTGTATTACACAGAGAACAGTGAGCTGATACGCCAAACCAGTTTCACTTGAGTCACAACCTCAGCTGCCTTACAGGGATCAGGAAGCCGTCTAAATGTGGAAGCTGGTTGAGCCTAAATAACAGAATGATGAAAGTACATTCCACTCTAAAGGCACTCAATTATTTTTAAATACAAGACAAAGACGTCCCTATGGATGAATTTGGCCAGATGATAGGGTTAAAAATTTGAACTCGTTGTTTGGCTTTCAAAATGTATTTACAGATTGAAATTTAGTATTGGTCTAGTGCCCACTAGGTAAGGTACATATAATTAGAATGAGACAAGTCTGTGAAATGTTGACACAGCAAGCACATTTGCACAAGGTTGTCTTATTATACATTACATGTGATTTCAGCAGTGATCAGAACTGCACAATAGTCCCTCTTATCCGTGGGGGATATTCTAAGGCCCCTTCCCCCAGCAGATGACTAAAAGTGCAAATACTGAAATCTCATGCTTTTTCCTGTTTATACATGTGACAAAGTTAATTTGTAGATTAAGCACAGAAAGGAATTAACACTAATGATAAAGTAGGACAATTACAGCCATGCCATGCACTGTGTGGCGTTTTGATCAATGGCAGACTGCATATGACAACTGTCCTGTAAGATTGTAACAGATCAGAAAAATGTGCTGTCTGTGTGGACACAGATGCAAACACCACTATGGTGCTGCCGGCTGTGCAAAAGCATGGCATGTATGGTTTCCCACAGCACATAACCTTGAGAACGAGGCTGGAGAAGTAGTCAGTGCTAAAGCACTTCCTAGCACTAGGCTGATTCCCAGCACTGCAAAAGACAAAACGAAAAAACCCTATTACTGGTTTATGTATTTATTCTACTGCATTTTTTCATTATTCTCCAACCACATATAAAAATCAAAGTTGAATATAAAACAATATGGTGTTTACACTGGTAGCAGCTGTGTTTACTGTGTCTCTTTCCTGTATAACCTACACCACATGCATCTGTGTAAGTGCTGTTTGCACACAAGGAAAGAGCCTAATGATGTATTTCCCAGAACATATCCCCAGGGTTAAGCGATGCATGACCGTGTCATAAAACTTATGTGAATGTGGTCTCTGTTAAAATCTTACCAAAGTTGTGCTCACCCTCCTTGTACTGTGAGATGGCACTTGAAGGAAGCACTTCAGAGCTTCTCTCTGGCACATCTGAACTGCCAGCACCACTGCTCTTGTACACTGGGGACATTAAGTAAAATAAGGGTGACCGGAACACAAGCTCTAAAATACTATGATAGCTGATGTGACAGCCAAGGCAGCTACTGAGTGACCAGCAGGCAGGCGGCATACACAATGTGGACACTCTGGACAACCGGTTGGGGCAGATCAGACGGTATGAGGCTTCATTACGTTCAGAATTGAGTGCTACTTACAACCTGTGAATTACTTGTCTCAGACTCCATTTAGTGTTTTCAGACCATGCTTGACTCCTGAACTGAAACATCTGAAAGTGAAACTGTGGGTTGAGGGTGTGGCTCAAGTGGTAGAGCACTTGCCTACCAATGATGAGACCTGAGCACAAACTCCAGTACCTCCAAAAACAAAACATTTACTTCGGGTACAAAGAAAATTTTATTTCAATACCTTAATATTGAAATCAGCTATTATACATATCCATCAACTTTTATACACTATATCTCAGGAGATAATGAAGTAAGATTTTGATGAAGCACTCTCAGCAAACACCATTTAATCTCCAAATTCAATCAGGTCCTTTAACAAGTCACTTGTAACTCGCTGTGTTGTAGCATACTTCACGTATGAAATAAATAATGCAATATATAATCGAGGTCTCATCTAAGAGGTAAATACCCTATAAATTTGGATTTTTCATCCCAATTCCTTCACACTCAATAATGTAAGTGTCTTTCAAGGCATCTTCTTCATCTTCTGATTTTGTCACAGTAAATTTAGCCTGAAACAGAAGATTTGTCAGCATATAAGTAACATAAAGAGGATAGGAGGGAAGAGCTTGCAATCTGACCTTAAGTAGACAAGAGTTAATACCAAACCCATCTGTTGAATAAGCTAGATACAAAAATCAAATGACTCATGAGAAATTCGACAGATGACACATTTTGTTCTAGAACCATGATTGTTCAGAGTACACATTCTTGGGGAGAATTTTGTTGTAATATCCTGCGTAGGCCCCACTCCATACACGCTGAATCAAAAATGGGAAAATTTTAATTGATGGTTCTAAAGCATTGTATCTCTCTGTTCTCTAAAATATTCCTAAAATATCGGTCTGAAACATTTAACTTTTACCTGTCAAGTACGAAATTATCACTTAAACTCAGTAGCTTTTTCTTGCCAATGTAATTCACTAACTACATTATTCAGATAGATCTAGTCAGAGAATGTAGGTGGAGAGGAGGAATGGTGGTGGTGACTAACAACTACTTTCATCTTTATAGGCCTTAACATTGTGTTTTTCACTTGTTAACTGAAAGTGGTTTTGAAATTTTGGATCTCTGTCATTGTATTGTGGAAACATGATCATTTGTAAAGCAAACTGGTTCATTTTAACAAAACTGAATAAAAATCAAAACAACTGACTGAGTTTATGGCAAAGAGATGTCACATAGCCCAGAATCTTAGGATTCTTTGAAATACAAACCATCACCGTGGGGCCTTACTGAACAGTAATGTTCACAAATTCCTTCAGTTCCAGTATTTCATGACAATGTACTGACCCACAGTAGTCATCTGAAATTACTGGGTAATGAACGAACATGAAACAGTGAGCTAGTTAACAAAAATTTCTGTGTAGTTTTATGTGTGTGTGTATTTTTCTAATTACAAACATTACGAAATATGAAACACAACTAGTTATGGAATTATTTCAAGACTGCGCTGATCATACTCAAGTTTCAGATTTTAGAGATGACTATGTGTACTGAGACAAAGAAAGATAAACTCACCCAAAGTCACTCAGTTAAAACAAAATGAAGGGCTGGGTATGGTGGTGCACACCTGTAATCCCAGCACTCAGAAGGCTGAGGCAGGAGGACTGTGAGTTCGAGGCCAACCTGGGCTATATAGTAAGACCCTGTCTCAAGAAACAAAACAAAACAAAAACACATGAAGCTGAATAAGACGTGGGATAAATCCCCAGTTCAGAGCACTTTTTACTTCAAGTAATATGGAAGTGCTGACTATATGCAAAGTACTGTAAAAATGAAGACTAATGGATAAACCGTGGAACCTACTATCAAGAGAAAACAGACAAGAAAGCATTACAAATAGTGAAAGTAGAATTAAAAAATAGTTAAACTCACTTTTGTCATCAAATACAATGTGTTCAAATGTCATCAGCCTTTTCCAACTAATCAATTTAACCAAAATCTATCTATTCCCTATAATAACAAAAAAGAGAGGCCAGGAACAGTGTCCCATGCATATAATCTCAGCTACTTGGAAGGCAAAGACAGGAGGATCACAGCTTGAGACCAGTCTGGTCACACCTACAATACCAGCTAAGCTGGAAACAGAGGTAGGAGGACCACAGTCCAAGGCCAGCACAGGCAAAAGTGTGAGACCCTATTTGAAGTGAAAAAGGGCTAGGGGAGTGGCTCAAGTGCCAAGGCCCTGACTTCAAGATCCCAGTACCACAAGGGATTAAAAAAAAAAAAAAGACAAGAGTATACATTATAAAAATCATACAAAGAGAGCAGGGTGACAGTGGCTATGTGCTCATACACATCTGTAATGCCTAATTTCCTTTTTTTAACTGGCGTGCATTCTTTACATAATTTAATAACTACTTAATGTGAATAACTTGTCATAGGTTGTCACCAATTTGATATGACTTTATAAAATTATATTATTAAAAAAGATACCAAAATAGAAATATGTGACATACTACTAGAAAAGGCAAGAAATGAAGCTTTATGTACTAACAGCAAAAAGCAGAGAGACAATTTGAGACAGGAGGAAACTATCTAAACACAACAGTGTTTTTACTGAAATGGAAATTCTAGGCAGGTTTTTCCCATATATTTTATAAATTTTCTATGAAGAACATTAGTTTCATGACGAAATATACATATTAGTCCTTTTAAATTAAGAATCTTGCAGGAAGGGTGTAAGTATGAGCTTACAAATGTTTAAACTGTAAACTGGCTCTAACATGTTGCAGAGGTATGTGTGCTTGCGCCCCGTGGGTTCCCTGTGATCTGCTGTCACAGTTCCACTCCTCATCTTCTCTCTCTCTGCAGGCAGTGTCAGTGACCATAGCTACGCCATGAAGTACACTCTCCTATGTCTGCTCAAAGTCCAGCTCTACCACCAAGAAACCACACAGTGTAAGACCATCTAATACATCCATCTCTCTAGCTCATAAGCAATACAGGAAAATCACCTTCAATGGTTACGCACAAGATGCTTCGGATAAACTGCTGAGTTAGCTAAGTGTCTGTCACAGAGGAAACCTCAGTTTGTAGTTTCAATTACGATCACTATTGAGTTTTCTGTTTATTAAAATATAACCTAATTATTCTCTGTAATGGAATACTCACCTTTGCAAGTTGTTCAGCAAAATGAATAGCAGTTTGTGTATGGAGTGTAACTGGTCCTGTTTTTATTCTGGAAACTCCATTAGCTAAAGCCATGAAAATAATTAGCTATCAAAAAAAGAATAAAGAAAAATCTCACAAATTTAGTAATATTGTGAATTCAAATTCCGCTGCTGTCCATAAAGAAAATAGTACAAGAAACAAAATAGCTAGAAAATTCTATTTTTTTTTAGATTTCCAGAAGCCCTTAGAAGAGGACAGAAAATCTGTATTACCCAAAGTCTATGGTATGGTAGAGAAGTGCTTAGCTAGAGTACTCAGCACAGGATTTTTAAAGTCAATGTTTAGGAACAACTTATGGACTGGGAGGTGATATATCTAATTAGACCAACTATCTCTCGAGGTGGCATATGTACTGTGCAAAATTCTTCTATTCTTCTAAAATTACATCTGAACAGGGGAATCAATAAGACTGATGCAAAATTACTGGGAATACTGAGTAGACTTCAGCATGAAGTGACCATACATAAGGAAAACTGTCTTCAGAAAAATGCCAGGAAATCTTGAATACATTTAATTCTTTTGTATTTTATTTTATTATTTTTTTTTGCGGTGCCATGGATGGAACCCAGGGCCTAACGGATGCTAGGCAAGAAAAAGCGTACCACTGAGCCACTGAGCCCCACCCCAGCCTAAGCACTATACTTGCAAAAGAGGACTGCTGGCATGAGAGGAAGCAGAGAAAAGTATGGCAGAAAGGAAAACATGCAGACACCAAATCGTAGAAAGGTACGGCTAGGTGTGGTGGCACACCCCTGTAACTCCAACACTCAGGAGTCTGAAACAGGAGGATGGGGAGTTCAAGGCTAACAGCTATCCAACAAGACACTGTCTTGAAAAAAATAGGAAAGAAAGGAAAAGAAAGCAGGCAGAGGGATTCAAGTGATAAGAGCACCTACCTAGCAAGCACGAGACCTGAGTTCAAACCCCAGTACAGAAAAATAAATAAATAAATTACAAGAAAGAAAAGAAGGAAAGAATGACAAATCCTGGAAGAGGAGTTGACAGGTATAGGATGCAATAAATAGGAATTAAGAAGAGCCTGGGTGGTGATAAACCTGTGAGTCACCAGCACACAGATGGGATGTAAGACATGAAAATGGTCAAAATCACAGAGGGAGACAACAGATAGAAAGCGCTCTGAGCTCAGGCAGCAGGGCTCCTCAACACTTAGAAGTTAAGGAGAAAACAAACACACTAGCCAAGGATGTATGGCCAGTGAGGAGAGAAGGTGACAGTACTTCAGAAACAGTGAAGAAAGGCTTTAGCAATTGTGCCAATGAGGCTGGAGATGTGTGGGGCTCAAGTGGTAGAGTGCCTGCCTACCAAGTCTAAAGCCCTGAGTTCAAACCCCAGTACCACCAAAACCATCAGCAATTGTGCCAAATGCTGGGCAGGTCAAGTAAAATGAGGGCTGAAATGTGAAGAATTATAAATTCCAGGAGAAAACTTAAAAGGTGATTGGGATAGGACTTGTTAGTCAAGGAGTGAAGGTCAATGACAACCATTTACACTTGATCTAGTTATTGAATGCTCAAATCCAACAGGCTGGAGGTGTCCTTACCTGGTCTTGTAGGTACTCATCCACAGTGCCACCATGTCTAAGGTTTGCTAACAGCATTTCAGCAGCTTCAATTCCCACCTTGTCCGCACTCACACCTAAGACAGGTGTAATATAAACAAACCTAAATTATTGAGAGGCAAAAAGTTTCATTGATATATCCCATGTAGCACTGGTATGACTTTTTCCAGTACACCTTTTAGGATAAGATCTTTAGTTATTTAATATTCTTAAGTTTGACATATGCAAATACTAAGAAGGGTGAAGCAGGCAGTTCACAAATTTAAGGCCAGCCTGGGCTACAGAGTAAGACTCTACCTCAGAAAACAAAACAAAATGTTTGTTGCCCTTACCAACAAAGGGCAAACTGACTTTCTGTACCCCTACATGCAATGCAGTGTAATGTGTACAAAATCCCCTATGCAACCGTCTTTCTAAAAATGTCTAATCTGAATCATTTAATCATGAGGCAATCACACAAATCTAAATTGTGAGAAATTACATGAAAATGGGCTGGACTTTTCAAAATGTCAGCATCATGAAAGGAAGGGAACATTCTGTACTAAAAGACTAAACACCTCTGACAACCAAATGTTTTGTGCACTCAAGTAAATGACACATTGTTCTAAAGTCTATCTTGAAGGCAACTTGCTAATCTAAGTATGTCCGGTGTGTCTGTAGGTAAACAGCCAAATTCTTCAGGTGTAAGATGGCTCTGTGACTTTGTAGGCATTGTTTTGGGACATACATGCTACAGTGTTGAAGACTGAGGCATGCTGTCTTCACTGAGCAGTTCAGAAATATATACAGCAGTGGCTGAATGCTCATGACTGGTCCACCAGGAGAGGGTGTGTGGATGACCAGTTGAACTAGTCACTCAACTTTTCTATAGCTTTGAAAGTTTTCAAAATGTAAAGTTGGGAGAAAGATGTAAAGTTTAACTGACTCTGAAACAGAATTAACTGTGTGCTTTAAAATGTCAGCCATCATTCTCTGTAATATTCCACTACTGACTACTAAAGAAAGAATGCTGCAGCAAACTGGAACCAATTAACACCCGTTCATTTATCTGTACCTCGTTTGCCAAGTGATGATCCAGCAAACAAACAGCCAGTGGATGTCTCAGCAATAATGCTGTAAGAAAAAAAAATATTACTACCTCCACTATAAATATTCTGAAGTTACATGCAATTGCAACACAGAAGAACAGTGACTGAGTAACATCCCTCGGTGCTTGACTGGGAGAAGTCACACCAGAGCTAATCTACTCACACATAAAGAATGCAGCCCCCTATCCCTCCCAGAAGTTATCGTGTCATCAGCAATAAGTGGAACCATTCCACAGCCATATAGTGTTACTCAGAATTCTATGGTCATCTGAAATAAAAAGGTCTTCATGAATGGATTTTGGGTTTTGTTCTATAGCTTTCAGATTCTATTATCATAACAGCAAGCACTTACTTTAAAACCAAAATATTCAAACTTGAATAAGAAGGTTTGAAATTTAAGTATCCATGAAATACTTCAATAACATCAATTAAAGAAATTTTGTTATAACACTGAGAAGTGTAATTTCTAATGAGATTAATAGTTATATTTCTACTTTTGGCATTTTTTTTTATCAGCATACATTAACAGTAAGGGGTTCTCTGAGATAGTTCCACAAATATATACATGTTTTTAAGACATCTTTAACATCTTTAAATTAGTTTCCATTTGAAGTATTTTAAACACCTGAAATATTTCTCATAGGAAGGGTATCAAATTCTAACTTCTGATTAGCTTAAACATTTAAGTTCACAATAGTCATCCCTGGGTATTCATGGGTATTGGTTTCAGACAGGACCCCCACATGGACACCAAAAACCAAGGATGCTCAAGCCCTGTGTAAAATGGTGTATTACACGTAACCCATGCACATCGTCCTTTACACTTTATATCATCTGTGGACTATTTCTCACACCTAATATAATGTACATACTACATAACAGCTGCTACTCTATATTGTTTAGGGAATGTTAAGAAAAGTTCAGAGGCCTGGCGAAGTGGCTCAAGTGTTAGAGCGCCTGCCTAGCAAGCATGAGACCCTGGGTTCAAAGACCAGTACTGCCCCCACCCCAAAAAAGAAAACTCCATGCATGTTTAATTCAGACACAATATTTTTTCCTAAATATTTTTCATCTATAATTGAATCCACAGATATGGAGGGCTTAGAAAGTAATAAGGATCTTACGAAAGTAATAAAAGGAAAACCACCCTCAGGAAAAAGTTTTTTTTTGAGATAAGATCTTTGCTATGTGGTTCAGGCTAGCCTCACACTCATGATCCTTCTGCCTCACCCTCTCAAGTAGCTGGCATTAAGGTGTGCACCACCACGATGGGTCAGAGCAATCATCTTTTTTGATTTTTGAGGCAAGGTCTCACTATGTAGCCCAGCCTGGCTTTGAAGATGCTATGTAGCCCAGGCATAGCCTGGCCTGAAAACTCACAATATGCTGGGCACTGGTGGCTCGCACCTGTAATCCTAGCTACTCAGGAGGCAGAGATCAGCAGGATCACGGTTCAAAGCCAGTTTGGGCAAATAGTTTGCAAGACCCTATCTTGAAAATACCTAACACAAAAAGGGTGGTGGAGAAGCACAAGGTGTAGGCCCTAAATTCAAGCCCTGGTACCACAAAAAACAAACAAAACTTTGCAAAATCACTAATCTTTAATAAATAGGAAAATTATTTCAGGACTCTCAACTAACATCTAAAAGCATGTTTCTCACATTATTCCATTTCCATTGCCAAATGCTTGGTCTTTGGGCTCCTGAACAGGCTGGATGTTAACATACAGATCCCTGACCTCCTTTCTGATGCATCTCACAGCTGCTGCCGCCATATCTTTGGCTACCTATTTTGGCAGTGAAAAAGAGAAAAAATTACTCATTGTTTATTCAGCTGTTTTCAAGCCTTTAAAGTAATTTAAACTTTTACATGCACTATTTAAGAATTCAGCTTTAAAAGTAGAGAGCATACTGAATTTTAAGAAAAAAATTGTTTAAAGATATACTAAAAGAACATTCTCAGAGACGTCAGTGCATTGCCTGTAATCCTAGCTACTCGGTAAGAGATTGGGAGATCTCAGTTTGAGGCCAGCCTAGGCAGGGAGTTTATGAAACCCCATCTCCAACGAAACGAGCTGCACATAGTAGTGAGGGCCTGTCATCACAGCAATGATGAGAAACTTAAAATAGGAGGACTGCAGTAGCAAAAAACAAGACCCTGCCAGGTGCTCACATCTGTAATCCTAGCTACTCTCAAGCAGCAGAGACCAGAAGGATCACAGTTCAAAGCCAGCCTGTGCAAACAGTTTGAGAGATCCTATCTTGAAAAACACAAACAACAAAAACGGGCTGGTGAAGTGGCTCAAGCAGTAGAGCACCAGACTAGCAAGCATGAGACCTTGAGTTCAAACCCCAGTACTGCCAAAAAATAAGTAAGAAAAAAGCAAGACTCTATCTACAAAATAACCAGAGCAAAAAGGGCTGGAAGCATGACTCAAGCAGTAGAGCTCCTGCCTAGCAAGCTCAAAGTCCTGAGTTCAAACCCCAGTACCACACACACACACACACACACACACACACACACAAAGTTCCCTCAGTAATTTCAAATTTTAGATATCATCCTTATATAGGGGTGCACACACTTCTAAGAACATTTAGATCTTACTTTAAATGGCAAAACACCAGCAACAAAAGCTCTTCCATGTATCTTAGTCACAGAGCCACGATCGGTTAAATTTATTGGGTTCAACTGCTTAACAGGTGACATCTGGATGATCACTTCACCACCCCCTTTCGGGTAATAGCCCCTACGAAGAGTATAACAAAACCCACATCAAGTACTGCGTAACAAAATAAGCTCACTAAAATAATATGAAAGATATAACCCATGCAAAGTTGTACATCATATTAGCTCTGGACTGTCACTATGGCAGCCTCAAGTTATAAGTTAACTTTTCCATTACTTCTAGCACAACAGATCGAAAGGGTTAAGAAAAAAGTAACTTACCTCATTTTAATATCACAATTAAATCTGAAACCAAATTTTTCAACAATTGGCTTGAAGACCTGAAAAGAAATCAGTTGTTACATTAGTCACCAATATCCACTAATTCAACAAGTATAATTATTAAACGAGAAGTGCTACAGGTAAATGGTGACAGCAAAAATACTTACACTGGTTCTTCTTTCAAGTGAAAAATCTGATACATTGATAATGTAAGGTTTAAGGCTTAGTTAATCAGAGCTGTGCAAGTCTAGATGATGAAAAACAATGAATCACAACTCAGCACACTGATGGCAGTAATTATTCTGCTTCTCAGGCCAATACTTACACTACTTCTCAATACAAAGTGCATGACAAGAAATCAGGAAGCAGTAACAAACAGCACTCCATCTGCATTCTCCATTCTTTATACAGTGGAAATCTCACCCACAAACAAAGCTTTATCTTTACTTCTTTCATTTCACATTACAAACACAAGCATTTTCCTGACATCATAAATTCTTCCTAAGCAATATTTGAGTGACTGTATGGCATTTGGCATAATTTACTATTCTCCAAGTTGTCAAGATTATACAATGATATATACAATATATAATTGTAGCTTATACAATGCTCTGCTCAAATTATCTTTAACATTTATCTTTTACTACATTTTATGACATTTAATTAGGGGTAGCTTCCTTGAAGTGCAATTACTAGGTAAGGAGAGATTAACTTTTATTATACATCCTGTCACACTGACTTTAAAAAGATTATACCTTGCATTAGAATGGCAATGTTCCAGAGAAAGATGATATTTAACTGTAAAATCTAAGAACGCTCTTAAGATGTATTCTACAGATTTATTCACTTCTCAGGGTTATCTCCCATGTGTGCAGAAGGTACGGATACTTAAACTTTTGGGTTTGTTTTTTTTAAAGTAAGGGTTGTGACTGCTGCAGTGGTACTGTCTTTGCCTGACAGGTACAAGGTCCTGAGTTCAATCCCCAGCACCACAAAGGAAAAAATAAAAATAGCAGACTAGAAATAGAACAGAACACAACAGAATAGAACAGAATAGGCAGGCAGGACAGGGCTAGGGCATAGGTCAGTAGTAGGGCACTTGCCTAGCATGTATGAGGTCCTAGATTTGATCCCAGCACCAGTGGGAAAAAGGGCAGGAAAAAGGTTAAAAATAAAGGCCTGAGGGCTGGAGGAGTGGTTCAAGCGGTAGAGCACCTGCCTAGCAAGCATGAGGCTCTGAGTTCAAACCCCAGTACCGCCACAAAAAAAAAAAATAAATAAATAAATAAAGGCCTGAGGCTACAAAGCGCTGAGCAAAATACAGAAACAGCAGTGAAAATGTACAACAAGGGATGACAAATGTTTTGGCAGTTTCTCAGAAAGTTAGATGTACACTCACTGTAACAGCCCAGCGATCCCATTCTTAAATTTGCCCAAGAGAAGTGAAAATGGAAAGTTACGTTCAAACAAAAGCCTACACATAAATGTCAGCAGTGACTTTATTCATAACTGCCCAAAACTGGGAACAACAAAAATTCCTTTTAAGAAATGAATAAACAAACTGGCTCAGTCACAGAACAGAACCACTTAGGTTTTACTGCCGGTACAAATTACATCACGAGTCTCAAGTTTATTTTCTAACTGCAAAAGGCTATGTATAGTATCATTACTTTTATGACTTCTGAAAACAGGCAACACTATGACAGAAAACAAACAAGGAATTGAGGACAGGATTGTAAGAAAAACAATCTTTTCTATCAAAGTATATGTCACCCTTTAGATTACTTAAAATTCCTCAGGTCACCACCTTAGGTGACTTGCGTTATTTAAAGGGTTCCTGTTTCGTCTTCTAGATTCTTGTACAGCCCCATTGCCCACCAAATTACATGCCCTAACCAATCCCCTAAGCCTTTTAGCCAATCAAGAAAGATTGTGAACCTCTGACCTGGACAAATCCCAGGTGAGGGGCAGGTACAACTGCGTCACGGATATAAGAAGCCACTGTCAGCCATTTTGTGCTCACGTATCTGCTCAGCTGGAGTGAGTACATGTTTGCACACTTTTGATCAAAAGAAATTTCCTTGTCAAGATTTTCTGTCTCTCCTGTATCTGTTTTTGGCACCAGAGGATCTTTAATTCCAACAGAATTGATTACAGTATGAAAATTTTTAGAGTAATGAAATTATTCTACATCTTGATTGTGAAAGGTTGGTCCATGTTTGTCCAAAATCATAAAACTGCATACTTTAAATGGTGGTATACTTTAGTTGGAAAGAATTATGCCACAACTGCTGGAACAGTGGTACATGCATGTTCTAGCACCCTGGAGGCTTAGGCAGGAGGAACTGGAGTACAAGCCCAGATCTGGGCTAAACAGCAAAACCCTGTCTCAAAATAATAATTAAAAAGAATTATGCCAAAATTAACCCGGAGGGTAAAAAGTAATACAGCTTAGTATCCCATATCTGACATGTTCAGGACTGTATGTATTTTGAGTTATTCAGACTCTGTAAGATTTGCACATATATAATGAGGTATCTTGGGGATAGGAACCAAGTCTAAACACAAAACTTGCTTATTTCATAAACACCCTTTTTTTTTTTTTTTTTATGGTACTGGGGCTTGAACCCAGAGCCTACACCTTAAGCCACTCTAACCAGTCATTTTTTGTGATGAGTTTTTTTGAGATAGGGTCTCAAAAACTATTTGCCTAGGATGGCTTCATATATGCCTCCTGAAGGTAATTTCATACAACTTTTAGCGCACCTACATTTTGACTGCAACATACTACATGAAATCAGGTGAGGAATTTTCCCCTTGTGGCAGCAGGCTTGTGCTCACAAAGTTTCAGTTTCGAACACTCTGTATTTCAGATTTCCAGATTAGGGATGGTCAACCTGCACCACTTAGATCTCCTACTAGTTGTACAAGCATGACAGTACTGAATTTTCATCATTTGAAAAACTGTTGAGCTTCCTTCCCATCACAATTTTTGTATTTATAAAATAACTGATTCATGTATTAACATAACTTATACAATAATTACACTTCAGGTTTTTTAAAAAAAATTACTATGAACACTATTTTATATATATCACAAAACTTAAATATAAATTCCCACCCTTCCTCTGCAACAAAACTAGGCAGCGTGAAGGTACACACAGGAATAGATCAAAAACATTAATATATATATTAAGAGAATCGGT